GAGGTATCATAATGATGACTACTTCCAGGTATCTAGCCACGTATCCTACCTCCATCACGGCCAATAACCTCAAGGCATGCTGCCAGTATCAACTTTACAATGGTAGTGTGGACAGAAGTACTCTACTACTACTATTGTTACGTTGCTCAAGTAGGTAAAGCAGCCGAGGATGCGTGTAAAGCGTTGAGTGAGCACAGCGCTGACCATGGCGCTAAAGTATATAATCATAATGATATACTCAGGCATAATAGGGTTGTATTCCGTGATGGGGAAGGGGCTCTTGAAGTAAGCAGTATGTGTATCACTGTGTGCAGTATGTGTAGATATTACCACAACTACTAGACATAGTCCCGGAGGCTAGGTTGAATTTGATCATATACCATCTAAGGGACCCTAAGGGAGATCCTCAAGAGGCCCTCAATCTACTCGAGGTAGTGTAGGCAGCTAGAGTGAGTCTATTGTGGTTGTAGGGGGTTATACCTAGCCAACCACGAGAGCATATCCTCAAGGCTGTAGTACATACTGTTATAGGACAGCAACAAGGGGGTCAGACTAATGCTACTGCTTCACTACCTACTTGGATCTATACAGGGTCGAGAGCGTCGTTGCAGACAGCACAACAAGTCTTCAATCTAGTTGGAGCGAGTAGTGATACCCATACCATTCGCTCGCCACTTTTGGCCTCTAGGTGCTTCAGAATGCGATACAATACCAGGACGTCAGTGTATGGCATCCTGCTTATACCTGGGCAAGCAGTTCGAGGACGCTTTGGTGTACTTGAAGAGTATCAAGGCTTATTTCTCTGCTGATGATGATTTCAACTGGAATTATGGTATAGCATGTGGGAGTGTTGGTGACTATAAGGAAGCCCAACAAGCCCTCCTCTCGATACATAACACCCAATATACGTCTGAGTTCGGGTAGTGCCCCCCTACCATCAGCAGCAGTATGTAGCTGATATCTACTCAGTTACCTCTCGTGGGTATGCAGATGTTTCATCATGAATGGTGATCCGACATCAGCCTGGGAGTTGTACTGCCGTCAAGAGGCCTCCCCGTCTACGGAGATATTTAACCTACTGCAAATGATAGCTAACGACTGCTACAAGCATGGCCACTTCTTTATAGCCTGTAAGGCTTTTGATGTGCTCGAGCGACTCGATCCTGATCCCGAATTCTGGGATGGTAAAAGAGGCTCCGCAGTAGGAGTCTTCCAGTTGGTTATAGCCGGCATGGCCCCAGCCGAACAACTACAGCAGGTAGTAGGACCTTTCGTTGTGGTCGCTTTAGTAGTAGTAGGTGTTGATCAGGTGGTTGATCTACTACGAGGTACTAGGGTGCATCAAATACCACAAGTCGAGTACATCATAAATAGAGTCTTCAAGAAGTGGGCTGGCGAGAATGGTGTCTATCTTGAGTAGTTAGTGTAGCCATGGACTTAATCATGCTCGCTGATTCATCATCATCATTGTTATCAATGCCTCTCACGGTGTTGTGTCGTCGATCATAGTGTGTCGGTAATAGGACAGTGGTTGGTGTGTTGTTATAATTATGTATACATATCTTCACCCCGACAACGCCATGGTCAGTATCCAACCCTAACTATAGCTGCATATAAGCCCGGCTGCTCCCACTCTAACAATGCTGGACAGCCTGCCCATGCCATTACTACTCCTGGACAGCTAGGAGCCTCCTCTTATAGAGGTCAGCGCTCCACACTATTTGATCATAGACCTCACTTGACCTCCTCCTGTAGCATTATCAAGAACAACAAGTGCTCATCGTCGTATCAATAGTATCAACATCCGGTTCAGCCAACTACCCTCACTACCTCCTGGTATACCCTTGTTCGGTCGGCGTCACATTGAGGTTCATTTCGCAGTCCGCAACGAGCCATCTTCATTTGCAAGTCGTCCTCTAAATAGAGGTTGAGGTTGAGCTCTACCGATAGTCAGACCGCGGGAGGTATTGCTCTTATGCAAGGGGGTATTTGGGAGGTAAGGCCATCATGGTGGCAACCTTCCCCCGCCGCCGCCGTCGGCCTGTATCGTGATGCTATTAGAGTAGGAGGGAAGCTGATCTTGATGATGACGGCAGCAGTGAGCATCTCCATGATCCATCCATGATCCGGATAGAATGGGAGGTTAAGGAGGAATCGTTCCACTCCAATTGTGGATATATACGTACTGTCACCCACAGGGCTCACTCGTACAGGAATTGGCATTGCACGAGTCGTCGGAAGGTGTGAAGAATGGACTATCACCGTCATGATGTGGGAGACAGCATAAAATATGCCGCATCAGCGTCATCTGCATACGAGAATGCTCTGGCATCAGCTCAGCTGCTCCTCCATCCATTACTCATCCACTGTCCTTCAACTGGATCGAGGATCGACCTGAAGTGAGTTCTCTACGGTTGCTGCTGCCTTCATATGGGCAATGACGGGTGTGCAGCAGGAAGAATGTTAAGAGTACATTGCAAGGCATCATGGTTCTGTCGTGGCGATTATAGCCTTTATGGTGTTGGTGTGGGACGGCGTGACAGAGGACGGCCTGACAGGTTTTTTGATGCAGCTTGCTATGGGTTATTCGGATACTGAGAGTGATACATATTGTCGCTTTGCGAGTCCTATCAATGACGATTTCTGATAGCAATAAAGTGAAAGTGAACCCGTGAGATATCGAGGAGAAGTTGAACTCGTCGTGTCTGCAGGTGCCCGTCAGTGGCCGCGTCGTCTCTCTCATCAAGTGTGAACTTGAGATAGCAGTCACTGGCAAGGTCGTTAAAGACGCTCGTGTGGTGTGGGATGGTTGCGGATGGATTCCAGCAGCTCCTGATATGATAGATGATGAGTATTGTAACGTTAATGGTGATGCTGATGATAATGACGAGTCTGTGTTAAGACTACAGTTTGATGAAGGCATCGTTATGATGGAATATGCATGTGTTTTACAAGTCCTCAACAAGGTTGCATCTATTTACCATGCCTTGGGAAAGAAGAACGGTACCAACCTTCAACTGAACACTGCGATAGCATTATTGGAGTCACTCTCCTTGGGAAAGTGTTGCAGCTTTCCAATCTACTATGATGGCTCTCATCTGGCTCGTCTCCATGTGGCCGCTCGTCACGTTGTCCATGATGGCCCTTGGGCCCGTCGCCTATCAGATGAGCTTCGTCCTCGCTGTGCATGCTTCTTAGCGTGCAACATAGGGCGAATAATCCCAGATGATACCAAATGCCCGTGCACTATCGAAGCGATGGTTGATCAAGTGAAGAGGTCGACTCGCACAGTGACTTGTGAGGACTTAGCGGTGGCGGAGAGACGGCTCTTGGGCCTTCTCGAGAGAGCACGCTAGCGGTGCCGATGAGTGCGTTCAAATAAAACTGACATGAATATGGAACACGCATTACTAATACTTTTCAGCATTTAGGGAAAAGTTGTGTTCACCGTCGTTATTCGGATAGCGCGGGTAACCTCTAGAAGTTAACCGGGTAACCTCTAGCAAAATCTAACGGCACATTCATAATTTTGCTTTTCCAAAACACTGGAAGTTGATTTGAAGAGTGAGTGGCCGTTAAAGAGAGTTATCGAAGGGATCACTGGGTTCAAATTGACTTTCCCGATATCCCAGGTGACGACTGTCTCCGTCTCATAGCGACATTCAGGCAAGCAGATCCTTCCCGGTAGGCCAGACTACTGCCCTCGCATAACTGGACACTGCAGCAAATCGAACTACAACTCATCAACTCGACTCGAAGGAGATAATAAGGAAACAATATCACATTCATAGCACTACTCAATTTAGATAATCAAACTGGACGAGACAGCGAATGCTTTATAAACTACATCGAGCCTCCTCTTGAGCAACTGAAAGGCCTGTGAGACAATAACTGTGACATAATATAGCAAGTTGTACTACTCTAGTGTTCTGTGGGACGAGCATTACCAAACCTACGAGGCAATCGAGCAGACTCTGCCGTTTTATCCTATCCGGAGCCTCTAAAAATCACTAGATATTGAGGTTGTATATGGAGTCCCTACCGATAAGATAAGAGTTAGGGAGTAGTTCAAGCCGCAATCTAGTGAAGACCGGTGATTCCAGGAGATGCACTAATTGATCCAGTTGCAGCAGAGACTCTGTATCACCATCGCCATTGTCCGCATGAGCTGTTGACTGGGTAGGGTTGCCTACGAGGACGGAAAGGCTATGCATACATAGTCACTCGATTCCTACAGCCATCCAAGCCCTTGCGGACACTCCATGGCACAGCAGAGCCAATAGAGACTTGGTCATCAGCAATCATACCGACGAATTTACAGGCCAGGTCATATCTCCCCGCCCATAAGCAAAACGACAAGGCACTGGGAGGATTACTCATCCAGGGCACCTCGTTAGCATACATAGTTATTCGAGCTGGGGACTAATGAGGCCTACGAGTATTTTGATAAACAGAGGCAACTCTTTCTTATCCCAATCAGTTGTGTTCATAGCTAGATCAGTGATCTGCTGCCAAGTGATGGTTAGGGCCCGCTCCGTGTTAGCATCTCTACGTAGAATGTCACGAAGGGTGTTCGTCTCCGGCGCTGTAGACATACATAGTGTTTGAAGATGGAGTGGACAGTACCAGTGAGTAATATCCAATTGAAGAGGTACACAGCAACACTCTTGAACTCTGAATCTTCCTCATCTTGCTGTAAGTTGCGAGCATATGACGATAAAAACGTTCCACGTCCACATGACAGCATAGAT